TAATGGCTGACTCTTGACCGACCAGCCTTTCCCTTGATGCAAGGTAGGGAAATTACAAAAAGATCATATCACTCCTTTAATTTTATGGTTTCCTCACAGACAAGTAAGACTAGGGAAGCACTAGTCTGGAAGAAGAACACACAATAAAGACGTTTGCAGAGCACTTAGCCGTCCACAGAGTTCTTTACTGTAGGTGCTGTCTTCTGAGTCTCACACCTCTCCACTTTGCAGACCAGAAAGCCAGAGCTCAGAGCATTTAAAGGACCTTCTCAAAGTGGGAGGTGATGGGCAGACAGAGAGCAACTCCAGTGCAACACCCTGTGAGCAGCAGCCAGTGTGGGCCGGGCCCTGGTCCTGCACAGAGGCCCAGAGCCAGTGGAAGAGACAGGGCAGGCGCGAGAGTACTTATTACAGCTCTGGGGGACAGATACAATGAGAGACGCGTGTTTGGTAACAGGATCTGTTCAGAAGAGGGATTCTGGGGCATGGGAGGGAGCTGTGGGTCAGGCTTCACCAGGGAATTGGCAGTTTTGAGGGACAAACAGGTCTCTGTGGTGAAGAAAGAACAGGGAGCAAGAGTAAGGGTGGAGGAAGTGTGGGGAAGGGGCCGGGAGAGAGGACCAAGCCATGGGAAAGAATGTGAGCAAACTACAAAGTCTGGAAACACCACGGCGTGTTGGGTGATTACAAGTATTTCAGTCTCGTTGGTTGCAGGGCAAGGGGAGAGGAGCGACATGAGACAGGGGAACCAGGCAGCTGGATCTTGCAGGGCCCGGAGGCTGTGTGAACGTACCGGCCTTTGAGAGCCACTGAGGGCCACGCAGGTAGGAAGAAGGAGGGAAAACAGTGGAAGATGAGCTGTGCCTTAAAGTCGGGAGCCCAGAGCTCAGCTTCCTAAGAAATTATACATTAAGGGGAAGGAAAGGAATACACGTTCCAGGTGATTTTATCCCACACTACACGATATTTCTCTTCTCCTACAGCCTGAAAACCTGCTGTACCTCACCCCTGAAGAGAATTCCAGGATCGTGATCACAGACTTTGGTCTGTCCAAGATGGAACAGAGAGGCATCGTGTCCACTGCCTGTGGGACCCCAGGCTATGTGGGTGAGTCTGGGAGCAGAAGGAAGGTTGACCACTTGGCTACGTTCAACCACATGGTCATTATTCACAGAGGTGGTGACTGTGAGGAGACGGGGACAACGTCAGGGACTATCCAGGTAGAGCGTTCACCGATGAGGTTTAGGGCCAGCCAATCCATCTACCTCTGGAGATACCCCCTACAGCTCCCAAATTCTACATCTTTAAAGACAGCTGCCTCCAAGCCCTGCCCATGGCCTTCCTGTGCTTTGGCTCTCAGTCCTGCAGACAGACTTCCAGGTTTTATCTTTTCAGCTAGACCAGAGGCAGTAAGATCTGTGATCAGTAGAGAGCTGAGGGCTTGAAAACTAGCCCCTGTCCTTTCTCCCACCCTGGAGGAGACCTCAGCTCCCCTCCCCCAATTGCTGGAGCCCAGAAGCACAGGATGTTGAGTTTGACATGAGGAACCCAAATGTAGGACCCTAAATGTACACTCAAGGAAGCATTCTGGGACACTGGCAGAGGTGGGGCCTCCCGCCTGAACAGCCCTGTAGGGCCCCCGAAAAGGTGAGGGCGGGCAGGTTCCTGGTGAGAATATTCCTGGGACCCATGGGGGAGAAAACGGGAACTCGAACACCCACTCCTGCCCCTTTCCTCCCGGCCAGTCGTCAGCTGTGTGGGGTTGGGGAGTGGGAAGCAGAACCCCACTCAGGAAGGGGGGCCACTCGCCAGTGGGTGTTGAGTCCCACTGGGTACAAAGCCCCGGTATCTGGGATAAATACGGAGGGCAGCTCCCTACTGCCCCGGGACTCCCGCAGGCACATCCTAGAGACAGGAGAATGTCTGTCCTCGAAGGCAGGCATGGAAAGGAACTGGGGGTGGCAGGGAGCCGGGGAGATGGGCAGAAGGAAGATCAGACAAACTTTTGTTACCACATCTCAGGGGAAGTGGAGGTAAAAAGCTGCCTGCAAAATGTCACCAGATAATGAAGACAACGAATGCAATGTGACTTCCATAGCTGAGGTGTCAGTCAATTGCTCAGGGAGAAAATGACAATGATCCTTGCTTGAAATTTTGGATGGATCTTCTGCTCTTCTGAAGGAGAGGGGCCATGGCTGAGCCTCTCCTTCCCGCCTTCCATGTCTCCCACCCCACCCTATTGTTCTAGTGTTAACAGAAATAATAAATAATACCAGGCTCCCAAGATTATTATGAAAATTAAATAACATAATACATGAGCTTCCCATACAAAGAAGGATGGAGGTAGACAGTGTCCTGACCCTTACTGGCAGGTTCATACTCCACCGACAATCTGTGAAAGGTGGATAAAGCCCAGGATAAACTCCCACCTGCAGGTTGTAAACCCTTCAACCCATCGAGGGGGACACAGCTATGCCTTTTAATGTTATAATCCCAGCACAGTGTATGCTGCATAATATATGCTCAGCAAATGAAGGAAGGCAGTAAGGAAGAGAAAGAAAAAGGGGGGACCCAAGGGAGAACTGAGGCCATAGGAGGGCCAAATCAGAGGCCCCTGACTTCCCCCACACTCCCCAAAATGATAATAATTGGGACCTATTTGCCTGGAGAGTTTGAGTTGAAGTAATTTCTTGGCATTGAATTTTCTGTGCAGGCTTTGAATTCTCTCTTTTTTCTGAGATTCCAAGCAGGAGAAGGTGACTGACATTCACTGCGTGTCTGGTGATTAACTTTCTTAACGGTGTAGATGACACACTGGTTCTTTCCTCAGTCACCAAGTTCCTGCTGTGGGCCAAGTGCCAAAACTGGCTGTGGTGTTACAGAGCCAACCAAGAGGGGTCTCTGCACTCCAGGAGTGGACATGTTTTCTCAGCAGGGCCAGAAGCCCACACCCTCCCTGTGGGTGGACCTGAAGCCTGTGCCCGGGGATAAACCCTCTGACCTTCTAATCCCTCCCTATGAATTAATAGCAAACCAACCCTCCTGGTCCCTGACTCATTCAAGTTCTGTGTGGCAGTCCTCTGGCCAGTCATGGGACAGAGCCCAAGCGGTGAGGGTGTCACTAAAGATGATCTTTTTTCCACCCCAGTGTTTTCCTCTGCTAGAAGTCATGTCACACTCAACTGGAAAAGAATCTGAAGCCCAGGAGGGAAGTTGTTCCAGCACTGGATACAAATTCAAGTCAGGAGGCCCTGGAGGATAAAATACTGAGATATTTCCCTTTGGCGGGAGGTTGGGGGGTCAGGGGAGGGGTGAACATACAGGGTTTTGCATTTCCCTAAACCTAAAAAGACTCATCTGGCCTCATCTAGAGAGAGTAGGGACCTCTCTGCAGGGGGTGGAGAAAGAGGCAGGTACCCCTGGCTCTCTCTCTCTTTGGGATAACAGAGAGGGATAGACAGGGGAAGGGAAAGCTTGTGGCTGGGGGACCTGAAGTTGAGCATGCTAGAATGGAAGGGACTTTTTTAAAAAGCTTATGTGAGTAGAAGAGCAAAGAGCTGTGACCTTCTTTGGAGACAGATAGAGGAGGGGAAAAGGAGGAAAAAGAGTAAGACTAAAAATGGTTACTTGGGGAAGAAAGAGGTGTTCAGATGTCTTGAGGTTTGTTGTAAATTGCATCTGTAAATGAAATGCTCAAGTTCAACTGTTGTAATGACAGGTGGGTGCTGTTTTTATTTAGATGAAGCTCAGAGCACTGTATTTGCTAGGAAAGCACAAGCAGAAAACACCATGTGGAATCTGGAGAGGCGGTGTATGCAAGGAGCCCGGGTTTTACGTGCCTTACATTATAGGTCTAGGTTCAAATCCCACTTTGCTGTGTGACCATGACCAAGAGACTCAATCCTCTCAGCTGTAAATTAGGGCTCATTATGCATATTAGACTGGTCTAGAGAATTAAATGAGATGTCAATACAAAGCCCCTTTCGTTGAACAGGCACCAAATAAATAGTAGTTTTTTTCCCTCAATATGGAATCTCAAAAAAGAATTCAAAACAAAACGTTAAGCAGGCTTCCCTTTGCCACGTGGTAGCAGCATGCCTGAACTCAGGGTAGGGCAGTGCTAGCAACACTCTGAGCACAGCCCCTGGGCTTCTGCCACTGTGGGCCCTTAGGTCAGTCTCAAATTTCTCCACAAAGTGGGAATGTCTGCCTCCGAGCTCCCCTGTGACGCTTCTCTGTCACCACCCCCCCAACCCCTCCACACACGCGCGCGTGACACACACACACACACACACACACACACACACACACACACCCCTGACATCCTTTATAATGGCCAGGAGGCCTGATATGAGAGTCTTCAGCTCCAGGACCTGAGACATTGAGGCTACCCACCAATCCATCTAAGGAGATAGTCAAAACTGCCAAAACCTTCCAGGGCAAATCCTAGAGATGGTGATACTCCCCCACCCTCCCAGGCTGGGTTTGGACTGCAGCCCTGCTTGAGCCTCTGAGGCACTCAGGCTGCAGCAGCTCACCTGCCTTAGTCTGCTTGGGCTGCCATAACAGAATACCACAAACCAGGTGACTTAAACAAGAGTACAGGAGGCTGAAAGTCCAACATCAAGGTGGCAGCAGGGCTGGTTTCTGGTGAGGCCTCTACTCCTGGTGTACAGAAGTCCGTCTTCTCACAGTGTCCTCACATGGCCTCTCCTCAGTGCACGTATATCCCTGGTGTCTCTTTCTCTTCTTATAAGGTCACCAGTCATATCGGATGAGGGCCCACCCTTATGACCCTGTTTAACCTTAATTACCTCTTTAAAGGCCCCATCCCCAAGTACAGTCCCATAGGGGGTTAGGGCTTCAGCACATGAATCTGAGGGGACACAGTTCATTCCATAACATCCCCCTTCCTACCAGTTCCCACCACATTGCAGCTCTCAGCTGCCTCTGGCCCCAGCTCTCAGATCCTCTAGTGAATCCTGTCGGGATGAGAAAGGTCATTTCTTATCATCCGGGGGAGCCTTCACAGCTTGCTGGAGGCTAGTGAGGTCCAGGTGGCCCCTCTGGAGCTGCAGACAGAGGAGCCAGTCAAGGGCCCTACACTGACCCTGGGAGGACCGAGCACACCCTTGGGGTCCCAGGCCCCAGGCCGCAGTGGCTTCCCTTTCCCCGTTCAAATCCCTGATCCACATCAGGAGCTCTGGAGCAGAGGCTGAATGGGAATCATACCTTCTGGACTAAAAACTGGGACAAGGGGCCTGACAAAAGATTTTTGTGTTGCTCATTGGCATAAGTAACAGTCTGGCAGATGCAATTTGATTTCAGAATTACCAGCTTTTTTAAGATACTGCAATCAACTGAGGGAACAATGGGACAGAATATTTAAAATCTAAATGCAAATATGGTCCCTCCCAATAAGTCTCACCAGGATAAAATTCCCAGTGACTCTCACCCCTGTCAAGCTCTAAGAGAATGATCATGTTTTGCTCGCTGTTGTGGCTTCAGCCCCTAGTGCTAAGGATGTTCAGTAAACACTGATGAGACAGAGAGATCACTTGACCAGGCCCAGGCCAATGCCCAGTCTGTTTGTCTCCCAGACCTCAGGCCAGGTCTGCCACCTGTGTGAAAAAAAAAACCCTTTGTCACCCTCTTTTGCTTTCCTAGCCCAGGTTCTTCCAGTGGGGCATGTGATTTCCCAGTGTCCCCCTGCTCCTGTTGGAGGAGACACTCTGGGTCCCCCTGGTACCTGACCAGTCCTCGAGTCAGCAGTGGTGTTCCCAGGCAGGCCAGGCAGCCCCAACTCTGGAGGAGAGCTACTTTTAGGGGCTGGGGTGGGTGAGGACTGATGGGTGGCAGGGCAGTTTGGAGCTGACTGACTAGGTGGGGAGGGAGGCACACCTGTGAGGGTGCTGCTTACGTCAGGGAGGAAGACACAGAGGTCTAAGTGGTCAAAGGAGAGAAAGAGGCTCAGGAAACACATGCACAGGTGCCTACTGGCCTTCACCAGGAAGCACTCCGTGGGCTGTAGAATGCTCTTCCTCTCCCTCTTGGGGCCAAAGAAATCCTTGAAACCCAGTCCAGATCCACAGCCAGGCTGCCGCCAGAGATCAAAGTATCCACGCAGCACCTTCTGCACCAGCCTGTCCATCAGTCCATTCATCTGACTCTCACGCCAAAGAAAAATTTCTGAAGATTCTCCAATTCCCAATCCATTCTATCCCTAACTGGCCTGTGTCTGGACTTCCAGGAAACGTGTGGACTCAAGAAAGCATTTGGATGTTCTCTATTCTTTGCATATTATCCACAACCTAAAGGCGCATGCTCCCAGGCATGAGAACTCGGCCAAAACATCCCTTTCATTTAGGGCTACCTGCCTCATTGTCTCAGGAACTGAAGCCAAGAGACTGGCCACTAAGATGACTTGGGAATTCCCAGGGACACTGACTCAAGCACAGGCATCCAGACAGCCGGTGTGCCCACAATCCACTTCATGGCATATGAGTGATGGTCTCAATGAGAAATGCCACCCCAGGGAGCTTTTATGAGGACTAGGCTGAGATTTGGCAGTGCCAAGGGGAGGCCTGGCTTACAGGACTTCCCCAGCAACAGTTCAAAACTGCAGAAGGTGTGGCTGGTACCTGTCCACCCACCCAGAATACCCCCTGACACATGGGAAGCCTGTCTCCAGAGGTAGCTTGTTCCCTGTCAAGCCCTAAAAATAAAGCCCCAAGGACACAGTTATCCTGGTCTCAATGCTAAACAGGGCCCTGGAAAAGAAAGAGGCTCTCAAGTTTCATTGCTGGGCCATAGGAGAGGGCAAGGAAAAAAGGTGGGAGACTTAGTGCCCAGGAATGGCACTTCAGCCTCGGCTTCAGGGAGACCAAGGCTGCCAGCCCGGAAGAGGTAGCCAGGGCCATGAACAGTCCTCAAAAAAGAGGCACGATTCCACCAGTCAGAATGGGGAAGAAAGTTTGCTCTGCATCTCACCCAGCCCCAGCCCCAGCCCTGAAACTCCATGGACGGTCTAGTGGGCCAGATCCTGGCTACTGTCCCAGATCCCGCAAGCTGTAACTACCATGGAGTGACGGGCTATTCTTCCAACCTGCAAGGCTAATGCTGCTACTAGGCCCCTCAGGCAAGCACAGCATGCACATGCTCGCCTGGCCAGCTCTAGCTCAAAACGTTAACTCCACATTACAGACGATCCGGAAAGATCAGCGGGAGGATACCAGAGAACAAAGGCGGAGAAGGAAAAGCCTAACCAGAGAGATGTCCAGTGAGTGAGGGCTTCAAGGGAAGGGACCACATCTCCTGTGTCTGCGTGCCTCCTGCATGTGGGAGACACTTAGTCTATTCTATTGCTTGGTTGGCCACTGTCCCCAAAGTGGCCTGGGGTGGGAAGGAGGAAAGTTGCAGAACATGAACAAGGTGTGCAAAGCTGGCATTTGAGGTTGGATCACTAGAGGGCACTCCAGGACAGGAGCTGACTAGGGCAGCCCTCGCCATAGCATAGGGGCTTAGAGAGGGGCGGTTTGGAGTTTGTTTATTCATTCAACACTCACCTACTGAACAATTACTCTATGTCAAACACAAATGCTATACAGAATACAAAATGATTGAGATGTGACTTATCTTTCACTAGAAATATAACCAGCACAAGAAAAAAATGTATTCATATTTATCTACCAGTAACTTCTCTTTGTTAAGTGCTGATGTGGGCTGGCTGGTTAGCGCAGTTGGTTAGAGTGTGATGCTAACACCAAAATCAAGAGTTCAGATCCCCTTACCGGCCAGCCACCTAAATAAGTAAATAAATAAATAAATGCTGATGTGTTTAATCTTCACACACTGTCCCTTGCCCCTCATCTGCATGGCTGATCTCTCTTGTGTCTTTGCTCAAATGTCACCTTCTCATTAACCTACCCTTCCCATCTCATTTCAAACCATAGCGGATTCCCTCAGCAGTCCCAGTCCTGCTCACACGCTCCACTTTTCCCATGACATTATAACCATCTAACATGCCACATAATTTACACATTTATTATCTCCATTATCTGTGTCTGCCCCCACCCCCAGGACATAAATGCCGTGAGGGTGGAAGGTCTGTCTGTATGTTCACCAATGAACACTATGTCTGGAACAGTGTTTTTACACTCCACAGGTACTCAGTATGTATTTTTAATGAATAAGACAAGCGATAATTCTAATTAGCCCCAAGTAAATTGAGGGTCTAGGGGTCAGCCAGTGAGTATTCCTATGTTTGGGGGGCTTGGGTGAAGTGGACGTCATGTGCAATAGGGGTCTTCTCAGAGGAGGTGACATTAAGCTGGTCTTAAAGGGTGAGGAGCAGTTCACAGGTTAGAGAAAATGGAAAGAGGCAGAGCAGGCAAAGGGACAGCTTGAGCAAAGACCCAGAGGACAGTCCTGCAGGGTGTTCAGCACAGTCGTGGCAGAAGGACAGACCAGACATCCCTCCTGGCCTCAGCAGACCCACTTCCCCCAGGCAGCTGCTGCATGCTCTGGCCAGTCGGGACCCCCAGCCGTGACCACAGCTACTGGACAGTAGCCTGGCTGTGTCCCTCTGTCTGTCCTGGGCCTTCCCTCGCCCCATGTTCCCATTGCCTGTTTCACACTCCCATGTAAGTCTTTCCTGCGTTCTTTGCCCTCTAGGGCTTCCTGACATGGGGTATCCTCCGCCACTCCTGTCTCCGTTCTGCCGCAAGGAAGAAACAAACTGCACAGCTCAGAAAACAATCCATCATTTTGTCACAACATTTCCATTTCAAAGACTTCCTCTGCAAGCTTCTTTCTGGCCAAAAGCTTCCTCTCATTAGCATGAGAAGAACTGGCAGGAAGGTGAGTGACAAGGGAGGGGGAGGGCTGGAAATTGAGGTCTTTGCCTGTGTCTGCTCTGGGCAGAGGGTGGGTGTGTGTGTGTGTGTGTGTGTGTGTGTGTGTGTGTGTGTGTGTGTGTGTGTGTGTGTGTGTGTGTGTGTGTATTGAGGTCTTTGCCTGTGTCTTGCTCTGGGCAGAGGGGTGTGTGTGTGTGTGTGGTGTGTGTGTGTGTGTGTGCTGAGGTCTTTGCCTGTGTCTGCTCTGGGCAGAGGGTGTGTGTGTGTGTGTGTGTGTGTGTGTGTGTGTGTGTGTGTGTGTGTGTGTGTGTTGCGAGCTCCTGTTTCTCAGCACTCATTATTCTTGCTGCTCACTCAGAGATTTGCCCGCTCCTATCACAAGACATAAGCCACCTCAGGCACTGGCGGAGACTCCATTATATGCCGGGAATTCCACTGGGCACTGAGGATTCAGAGAGGAAGGAGGCAGGAAGGAAGGAGTCTGTCAGTAACTCGACAGATGTGTAAGTGAATAAATATGACACGACAGACACTGTTGTAAAGATCCCTGCGGAGCAATGAGGAAGCAGAGGAGTAGGGGTGTCACCTCAGAAGAGGTGACATTAAGCTGGCCGCGAAAGATGAGGAGCAGTTCACAGGTTAGAGAAAGTGGAAAGTGATGGATTTTGGACATGGCCGGCGCCACTGTACACACAATAAGCACCAGCACGAAAGAGCCGCCGGCCTCGTCTTCCACTCCAGCACCAAGCCCCTCCACCCTTCTCTTTACGAGAAGCCTCCTGACTTCGAAACAACTTTCTGGCTTCTGCATCGGTGCAGTTCTCCACCCAGCTACATCAACCTAACGGTCCCTCCCCTGTACACTTCGTGCCCCAAAGCTAATAAAAACCCTCGCAAACCCATTGTTGCTGCTGTCCCCCATTTTCAGGGCAGCCCCGGGCTGTCCTCCATTTTGAGTACAGACCGGCAGATTTCTTTCTTTAATAAAGCTTGAATGGTACCAGCATCTCGGCTCACTTTCTCTCAGAAAGAAGCAAGGCAGGTGAAGGGAACTGCATGGGTGAAGGGAACAGCATGGCGAAGGGAACAGCATGGTGAAGGGAAAGGCACAGAAGCAAGCCCTGCAGGGTTTGGGTTGTGGCTGTGGCAGGACATTATGCAGCTAATGCCTGTTGGGTAGACATAAATGGTCACCAAGGCTTCCTCAGTGGCGCCCTCCCTGCCTGGGCCTCATCAGTAGACAGCACAGGTGGGAGACCTGGTAGTGAGTCAGCCCCCTCCAGCCTCACAGCCCCTCCCAAGGCCTCCACATCTGTCACCTGGCAGAGCCCCCAGGGAGCCAGGCCTGGCCACAGAGTCCAGCATGGGCCCACTTGCAGAACCTTAAAACCCTGGAGACACCTTGTCCACCTCCTGTCCCCTTCAGTGTCCTCCCAACATACACAGAGGAGTTCCACAGGGACAGCAGCAGTTCCACAGGGACAGCAAAGGAATGGGGAGTGTAATAGGTCAGCGAGGGGAGGGAGAAGATGTGGGGAGTGGGCCTGAGCGTGTGCGGGGAAGGTGGGGGAGGGGAGTTATAAAGATCCAAGAGGAGAGAGGAGGCCAGGAAAGCAGAGGCCCTCTTGAGGACCTCACTGACTGAATCATTCATTCATTCATTCATTCAACAATACTTCAGGGGGCATTGTGTGAGTTATGCCCTCCAGACACCAAAACGAAGGCACACAGTGTCTGTCCTCAGGGAACTCACAGTCCATGAGGAAGACAAATAAGGAAATGAATGATAAGTACTAACTAAGCACCCAGCCTGGTCATCCTGAAGAGATGTGGACTGCATTGAGGTTTGAAGGATGATTACAAGTCAGACAGAGGGGTTAGAGTGGGAAGAACATTCCAGGCAGAGCATTCTCTGCAGCCCGGAGCAGAGCCAAGGCCACGGGGTGCTGTGCTGCCCACACATACCAGCCTCACTGTACCCTCACTACCCTCTCAAGACGGGGATGCCACCAGGGCCAGGCAGGCCAGGGGTGAGGCAGGGGCCACCATTTGGTATAAATCTTACATTTATGAAAGTCACCGTACTTAGACTTTGTATGTTATCTCCAATTGAGGTTTGGGTGTTTAAAATATAATTGTTAAATTTAAACCATTCAAATATATAACAATTTTTGTAAGCCTGTTTAGCATTTCTTTCTTTTTGTTTTTTATATCTACGAGAAGCCTAAAAATAATGAAAGTGGCCCAGTTCTGTCTCATTCTTGGCAACCAGGCAGCATTGGTCCCAGATAGGAAAAAGCAAGACTTA